TCCGGTGCTGGGCCCCCTAGAGGCCATGGTGCGCCACACCGGCGGTAGTTCCGCCACTGCTTATGTGGGCTGAAAGGGCAGCTGCTTTGGGCCCCACAACAATGATTGGGCCCTGGGCGACTGTCCCTTTTGCCCTGCGTTAAAGACGGTCCTGAGTGGGCGGGTGCAATAGCCAGCCTGCTACTGGCTGTTTCCATTTAAAATAAACAATAACAAACTGGCTATTGCTCCAAGCCACTACCTGCCGTGTTGACATTCAGCTGCCTCAGCAGCTGAATCCAGTGAAGTGGAAAGGTGACACTAACAAGGTTATTCACAAAAGGGTGAAGAGTTTGGAGAAGGCAGGAGAACAATCTACGCCAAAATAGCTGAACTGGAAAGTGATTTGAATTGGATAATTTTTCCAAATCAGGTATGTTGTCCTAGATTGTTCACTTTTCCTTCCTTCTCCAAACTCTTCACCCTTTTGTGAATAACTCTTTAGGGGCCTAAGAGACCCCTAATGTCACCTTAAAGAGAAACTGTCACCTCCAATGTGCCATCACATAGGGGCTTGTGGATAGCAGTGAAGTTTTAAAAAAATGTACAACATAAAAGTGAAATAAAATTAAAAATGACTCCAGGGATATATAATGAAACGAGTGTGGGAACTCTAGAGAATTGCTTAACTACCTGCTGTCCGGCCGTTGTAATTAAACGGCCGGACAGTGGCTTCTTTAGGGCGGGTGGGCGTCTTTAGACGTCCTATCCCGTTCCGCAACGAGCCTGCCGCTAGGCGGCGCGCAAGAGCGGGAAACAGCGATGGCTGTTTACATACAAGCGTTCGGGCATCTGTAGAGACGCCCGATCGCTTGTAATATGCGGTCGGGTGTGGGCCCCCCCATAAAAAAATAAAAAAAAATAAAGTCCCCCGCCCCCACATGCACACGCAAACATGCGTCAAGCCCGCCTATGTGCGGAAAAATGCCGATTACATCCATTGCGCCGCACATGTTACATGAATGAGTCGGAATGAGAGCAATAATTCTAGGGCCATCAATCACTGATAACACTAAACTGATGAGCGTTAAAAGCTTTTAAAGCGTCGGCTATGGTCAATTTTGAGTATGGTAGTTTTTTGCGATTTAATGGGTGCGCGCAATTTTAAAGCTTGACATGTTTGGTGTCTATTTACCCGACGTGACCCGATCTTTTATATTTTACCAAAAAAATTGGGTAATAATACATGTTTTATAACATAACGTAGGGAGAACAGGGTTTTTTTCTAAAATTTCGGTACTTTTTTTTATTATACAGTAAAAGAAAAAAACCTGTAGTGGTGATTAAATACCAGCAAAAGAAAGCTCTATCTGTCCCAAAAAATGGTATAAAATTCATTTCAGTACAGAGTTACATGATGGAATAAATGTCAGTCAAAGTACCGCAGCGCTGAATACTGAAAAATGGCCTGGCCAGGAAGGGGGGTCTAAACACCCTGGTCAGCAAATGGTTAAATAATGCATTACACTAAAAATAAACTTATTAGATTTTAGTCTACTAAAATCGACTTTAATTTTCCTCGACTAAAATAAAAATGAATCTGATGACTAAAATGCGACTAAAAATAAAAATTAATTTTCGTCAAAAGACTAAAATGAAATTTGCTGTCAAAATTAACACTGCTTCCCAATACGTGGAACTGGGGTGGGACACTTCAGCTGAAACACGCCAGCTCTATACTGAGAGCTGAGCAATCACGTAACCGCTGATCACTCAGTGCACAATCTCCTCCCTGCAGAGTGCAGCAACGGTCAGCACTCATTGGAGGGACAGATAGTAGAGGAGGCAGGAATGGTTGGCTCTGGCTCTAGAGAGGCAGTGCCGGCTGTCAATCAGGCAGAGGGGCGGATCCCAAAAATACATTTGTTCTGCGCTGTCAGCATATAGCAGGCAGTGGTCGGCTTTATGCTGACTTTGGGCCACAGAAGTACACTAACTAATGTTTAATAAAGGTTTGGCTGTACGTCTCTTTAAAAAGCTCAAATCCAGTGAATTGAAAAGTTTTCCCTTGTGGTGGGGCTGCCCCTGAACTGCAAGGGTAAGGGCTCATTCACATGCATACGCTGACAGCTTTTTCTCCATTCAGGCCGGCTTGTTACAGGTTACACAGCAGGGAAAGCCTCCTTGCTGTAAAACCTGTCATGGACAGAGCGCTGCCTGTTAATTACAGGCGGCCCTGCATCCGGCTTTTGACAGCTAAGTTAGGTTACACAGCAGCCGGCTTCCCCACTGCTTTGTGTAACCTAACATAGTGAGGCCAGAGCTGCAACTGCCTCTACTTGGTGCTAGAGGCTTGAGCTCTGTGGATGGTTTGGACCAATGGCGAAGCGCCATTAGTCCAAGCTGTCCAAAAAAAAACACTGAGAGCATTGATCTCAACGCCTCACCTGTGACAAGCAAGTGAGGGACAGGCAGGCTCCTCCCTATCTCCTCCCTCCTTCACACATAGTTAGGTGAACTGGTTAGGGTAGGGGCGGTGGCGGGCTGGGGGAGGGGCAGTGGCCGACAGGGGGAATGCCTCTCCTAGCACGGAGTTTAGTGCACGTCACTGATATACATATATTGTTTTTAGTTTCGGGGGAAGGTGATGTAGGTGGATACGGGAGAGATATTAAAACAAGTGAAAGTAGCAGTGACATCATGACTGTGTTGTACATAGCCTGTGCAGATGTGGGAGGAGCCTATCAGACCCCACCCACTACAGGCTACCTGAAGA